ACTTGCATTTGCATGCTTTTGAACTACTAGGTTGGCAGAAAGTGGGACTAGTGACAGGAGCTCACCCCATCATACAGCACCCGAGCCTCGAACTGCCAACCTACCGATCTTGCAATCCTGTTGGAAAGTCACAAATATGTAACCTGAATTTGCACACTCACAACTGTGTGGCATTAATGATCCCTATGTAGCCTCTAGCTGAGGGAACATGTAGCAACCATGCAAGTACTCCAATCTCCACTTGTTAGGAAGCAGTCACTGGGCTCATGAGGGGGGTCTGTTCCCCAGTCTCTCATGAATCAGCTGATTGACAATCCCACCAAATCTGCTCATCCTTGCACAAGTGATATCTAGTGTGAGAGGGAATTGTGAGAGGGCCCTGCTTTTGCCTGTTGCAATGGAGAGTGCTCATGAGAGGTGGTGGAAACATTGGTCAGCTGCTTCTTGAGTGACAAGGGAATGGACACCCATTGATCACAGTGGCTGCTTCCTGGTAATGAGGATTGGAAAGGCTGGGCTGGCGGTCACTGTGTAGCTCTGTTACTGTGATAGCTGCACATTTGTTGTAACTGCCCAATAGGATTTTGGCCTATATCACCAGTAGCTATGTACTAGTAAGAGAACCACCTTCTCCTAGGTGAACACATTTGAGATCATCTTTGGAGACCTTTCTCAGGCTGCAATGGCTTTCTGAGTTCAGGTCATTGACAACTGGGTGTAGGGCTTTTCAGATGTGACATGGAAGATTGCCTTCTGGGTGTTTATCACATGTTTGGTTTCAGGCAGTTTTACAGGCCTTTAAAAATACCCTTTTCATGGTTTCTGTCATATTTTTATTCCTTTAGCTATTTTAATTTATTTTCAATTTTTGTGATCTTACTGTTGTTTTTACTGTTTTAGCATTATCTGTGTGGCACCCCTGTTGATACACAAAGATAAGCTCAATTAAACAAGATTTCAAACCAGAGTTGGGAAGCAGGTGAAAACTATGATCAAATTCCTCCAAGTTCAGTGAGGGGTTTTTCTTAGCATGTGGCTGACATAATGAAATTAACTACTGTGTAAGGCTGCTTCTATGGAGAATAATAAGTAATGATTTTCAGTGGACATTACTGTGATGAACAGAAAGACAGCAGGGAGCTGTGAAGACCAGAAGACAGCTGACCAATCCTGAGACAGCTGGAATCAGCCATTACAACCATTTGTTAAGCC